CCTTTGTTATATTTGTGTTTTTTTATTTGTGCTAAATAAACACACACACACACACACACACACACACATACACATATATATATACACACACACACATATACATACATACATACATACATACATACATACATACAAATATGGAAAGAGTTCCATATTTACCATATATCTAAAATATAGCTAATATTAATTCTGCTGTCTGGAATATCAATGATGATAGTTGGTAAATGTATTTTCCTTCCTTTCCCTCCTTCCTCCTTTCATTCCCATCTTCCTTCCTCCCTTCTATCTCCTTCCTTCCTTCTGTTCTTCCTTCCTTCCTTCCTTCCTTCCATCCATCCATCCATCCATCCCTTTCTTTCATTAGCAAGTGAGTTCCATGTATGACCATTTCCAGAGTCCCGGGGTCGCACAGCTGCAATTTACAAGAGATTTTCCTTCTGGCTTATCAGCAAAACTCTGAGCCACAATGAATCACGAGGTCCCTTGAATTATGCCGGGAGCAACGTTGCCCCAAACCCCCAAAACTATTTCCAACCGTCAAAAGTTGCGTAATGGCCACACGTGGGAGGTTTGGGCAAGAGATCTGAAACTGGAGCGTTTCCACCCGAGGCCAAATTTTGCAAGCGAGAACCAGATGAAGATTGTTAGGGACAACTTCAAAAGATTCCCCAAGGTAATTTCATTCCAGGCCTGGCCTGTTAGTGGTAAAATCTTAGGCATCCCTTGGAGGAGTTGGCGGTATAGAAAAGCAGGAAATACAGGTCCAGATTAAAGGAGGAGGAGGAGGAGGAGGAGGAGGAGGACGACGACGACGACTGTGGGGTCCTCGGTGCTCTCTGAGATTGCTTGTTTCCTTGCAGATGTTTCATGACCCAACTAGGTAACATCATCAGTGCTGGAAGGAGTGGGAAGTGTGGAGAAGAGGAGGAGGAGGAGGACTGTGGGGTCCTTGGTGTTCTCTGAGCTTGAGTGCTTTCTTCAAGACGTTTCATGACCCAACTAAGTAACCTCATCAATGCTAGAAGGGATGGGTGGGGGGTTGCAGGAGGGAGAAGGACTGGGGGGCCTTGGGTGGTCTCTGAGCTTAGTTGTTTTCCTGCAGACCTTTCATGGCCCAAATTAGTAACATCATCAGTGCTAGAGAGTGCAACCCCACCCCACCCCATCCCCGCACTGATGATATTACCCAGTTGGGTCATGAAACGCCTGCAAGAAAAGCACCAAGCTTTGAGAGCACTGAGAACAGCCCTACAGTCCCTCTTCCTCCTCCTCCTCTGCCCCCTCCCCTCTGCAACCCCTCCTCCCTTCCAGAAGGAAGGAAGGAAGGGAAGGAAGGAAGGAAGGAAGGAAGGAAGGAAGGAAGGAAGGAAGGAAAGGAAGGAATGGAAGCAAGGAGGGAAGGAAGCAAAGGAATGGAAGGAAGCAAGGAAGGAAGGAAGGAAGGAAGG